CCTCCTCCTCCTCCTCCTCCTCCTTCTCCCCTTCTCCTTCTCCTCCTTCTCCCTCTCCTTCTCCTTCTCCTTCTTCTCCTCCTCCTCTTCCTCCTCTTCCTCCTCCTCCTCTTCCTCCTCCTCCTCCTCCTCCTCTTCTTCTTCTTCTTCTTCTTTTCTTCTTCTTCTCCTTCTCCTTCTCCTTCTCCTTCTCCTTCTCCTCCTTCTCCTTCTCCTTCTCCTTCTCCTTCTCCTTCTCCTCCTTCTCCTTCTCCTCCTTCTCCTTCTCCTTCTCCTTCTCCTTCTCCTTCTCCTTCTCCTTCTCCTTCTTCTTCTTCTTCTTCTCTCACTCTCTGTCTCTCTCTCTTCCTTCCTCCCTCTCTTTCCTTTTAGTTACTGTGGTTTGCAGTACTGTTACTGAAAGTTTATCATGTATATCACTTTACCTCTTTTCAGCACTCAATTCTTGTCCAGAGTGATCATTTCCAACTATCATCATCACAGTGATCCCTTCTCTGTCCTAACTGCCCTCTCCTTCCCTACTTGTGGCAAACTTCCAACCATGGAATAGTCTGCCTGGCCCTCATTTCTACTGTCTTTGACTATTAGCTTCATACTATTTTTTTTTATATCTTGCAAATGAGTGCAATCATTTTATGTCTGTCTCTCTTCCTCTGATTCATATCTCTTAATATGATACTATCCATGCCCATCCATGTATAATCAAATTTCATGACTTCATTTTTTTTACTGGCGGCTGCGTACTATTCCACTATGTAGATGTATCATAGTTTACTTTATCTGGTCGTCTGTTCTCGGGCACTCGGTTTCTTTCCAGATTCTGGCTATTGTGAATAGCGCTGCAAAGAACGCAGAAGTGTAGATGGCTTTTCTGCATTGCTTTTGGACCATATGGAGCCTCAATTTCTAGGTTTTTGAGGAGCGCCCAAATTATTTTCCAAAAATACTTTCCGTCAGCAATGAATTGAGAGTCCCTTTCTCCTCATGTCTGGTTGTTCTTGTTCTTTCGGATGTGTTCAATCTCTATGTCTTGAGATGATATCTCATTGTTGTTTTGATTTGCGTCTCCCTGATGACTAATGATATAGAGTGTAGATTCATGTGTCTTTGTGCCATTTATATTTCTTCTTTGAGGAAGTTTCTGTTCCTTTCTTCTCCCCATTTTTTGATAGGGCTGGATTTTTTTTTCTTTTTGGGTCACACCTGGCGATGATCAGGGGTTACTCCTGGCTCATGCACTCAGGAATTACTCCTGGCGTTGCTTGGGGAACCATATGGGATGCTGGGAATCGAACCTGTGTCAAGTCCATGTTGGCTGCATGCAAGGCAAACGCCCTACCCGCTGTGCTATCGCTCCAGCCCCTGGATTTTTTTTTCCTTCTAAATATCTACCAGTGCCTTATATATCTTTGATTTTAACTCCTTATCAGATGGGTGTTGGGTAAATAGTTCTTGCTGTCTTTATATTCTGGTCATTGTTTCCGTCAATGCAGACGCTTCTTAGTTTAATGCAGTCCCATTTGTTGATTTTTGCTTCTGTTTACTTGGGCAGTGGTGTTTCATCCTTGAAGCTGCTTTGGCGTCAGTGTGGAGACATCTGTCTGTGATTTCCTCTCTGCACCTTACAGATTCAAGTCTGATATGGAAGTCTTTAATCCATTTTGATTTGACTTCTGTGCATGGTGTTAGAAAGAAGTCTGAGTTTATTTATTTATTTTTTTTTTGGCAAGTACCTGCCCAGTTTTCCCAGCACCATTTTTTAAAAAAATATTTGTCTTCTTTTTTCATTATTCATACATAAGAAAGCCATGGACTTTCACATGCTGATTTTGTAACTTGCCACTTTACAAATCTATTATTTCTAGAAACGTTTTCCTAGAGTCTATAGAATTTTCTAGAGTATCATGTCATCTGCAAATAGTGAGAGCTTGACTTCTTCCTTTCCCATCCCTTTCCTATCTGGATGCCCTAAATGTCTTTTTCTTGCCCAACTGCCAGGCAAGTACTTCTCATATTATATTGAATAGGAGTGGTGTGAGCAGGAAGCCTTGGACTGTGCCTGATCTTCGAGGGTTTTGTAGAATGTTAAGGAACAAGGATAGATGTAGAAAATACGTGCATTGAGGAGTCATGAGTATAGTCTAAGACGTTGAAATGAACAAAATTCTCTTTTCTTCTAAGAATAAAGAGAACGTAGCTAGAGACCCCCCACCCCCCGTGCTGGGTGGGCTGTAGTGAGAGTGAGCGAGTTTTGCCAATGGTGATAGCTTCCTTACATCAAGAGACATTTGCCAAAAAAGCAAGATATTTCTGGTGAATTCACTAATGCCAAGTTTTGGTGTTCCATACTTATTGGCCACTGGATCTCAAAGACTCATTGGTAGTAGAAGGTCTATTAATTAAGGACCAATGGATGGCTTTTGCCCACTGACCTGGTTTTGGTTTGGGGGTAGCACCTGGCAGTGCGACTCCGGCTTTTGTTCAGGAGTTGCTCTGACCGTGTGATATCAGATTCAGAGTTGAGTCTGCCCACAAAGCCTGCGCTCAACCTGTTAAGCTACTACTCTGACCGAGGGCCAATACGTTTGGTTGTTTGGTTGGTTTTTAAGCCACATCTAACTGTGCTCAGGACTTCTGGTTTTGTGTTCAAGGATCACTCCCGGTAGGCTCGGAATAGGTATGTGGTGATGAAATTTGAACCAGTGTTGGCAAACGCCTTCACCCCTGTACTGTCTCTCTCCCAGCAAGCAATATATCCATCTTGAAGAAAAGTGCAGGAAATGGCCCCTCAGGATCCTAGAATACTCCAGAAAGTTCCAAACAGACTTCGCCTTTTGATCGGTAAGCCATTCATAAGCTTCATTTTAAGGCAGCAATTTGCTGGTCTTCTGGTGACAAAGGCCACCCTAGCAGATGGTGGGACAAGGTGGATGAGTGAGCCTGGGATGGAAACTGTTACCCTCACCGGGACACTGCAGACCAGAGAAAACTAAGCATCTCACAGTGACTGTGCTCTATGACCCTCTGTCAGTATTTGCTATTATTCACACAAGGGCCAAATCCACACTGGCTGCTTAGACTCTCGTAATAATTATTTGATTGTTATTAAATAAGTAAATGTTTGCGAACGCAAACAGGATGAGAACGCTATTCGGGTCTCCCAAAGAGGAATCGAAAGAGCTATGCTTGGAATATCACGTTTCACTCAAATGAGAGAAAGAATCCGGAGTTCCGACCTCCGTCGACGATCGAGAATCAGGGACGCTGTCTCATTTGCCAAGGCGTCAAAAATCAGATGGGCTGGTCAGGTAATGAGATTTGGAGATGACTGCTGGACTAGAGCCATTACCGACTGGATTCCACGGGATGTCAAAAGACGGCGTGGCCACCCACCTACCAGATGGTCAGACTTCTTCATCAAGATCATGAACGATCGGTTTGAGGCTCTTCGTGTTCCTAGAGCGAACAGACGCCATTTGGGCTACACTAGCATGGGACAGGGACAAATGGAGATGTTACTGGTGCCCGCTCGAGCAAATCAACGATTAACGGGAAGTCAAGTGATCAAATAAGTAAATACTTAATTGCCTTTTTTGGGGGGGACACCCTGCAGTGCTCAGGTCTTACTCCTGGCTCTGCACTCCTGGCAGGGCTTGGTGGACCATACATGGTACAGAACCTGGGTTGTCCACGTGCAAAGCAGGCACCCTACAGGCTGTACGATCACTCCAGCCTCCAATATTTAGTTATTTTGGTCAGCATGTGCAAGGCTGAGGTCCCAGGGTGCAGCATCTTGCCTAGAACTTCTGAGTTTCTGGGGCCAATGGCATTGCCAACCGGGGTTTGACCCAGGAATCCCATATGGTCTCCTGTGCACTGCCAGGAGTGATCCCTGAGCACAGAGCCTGGAGCAACCCCTGAGCACCAGCCAGGTGTGGCCCCAATACAAAACAGAACAACATGTGGTGTCTGCAGGGATGGCATTTCAGTGTAGACAGTATTTACCTCAGTGTAGACTGTATTTGCCGAGTTGTAACAAGAACATAAGATGCTTTTTTTGGGGGGTGGGAGTAAAATAGTTTTATTTGGGGGTGGGATGGTGGCTACCAGCTGTGCTGCCTCTCTGGCCCTGAAAAAGTTTAATGTAGGAAATATCAGAGAAGAAATATAGATGTGCAAGAGAACCAGGGCTTGCCGAGGAGACAGTCTGCTTCAGGGGCCGGGAAGGGGAGCCCCAGGATGACCCTGTGCCTGTGTTTACTGTAAATCTACACAGGAGACTCACCCAGCAGTGCTCCCGGGGACCTGTCACTCCATAAGTCTGGGGCTCAGCCCTACGGGTGCGGGATGCTTAGGGACCTCCAAGTTTGCATCAGTTAGTGCTGAGAGATGGGACCTCGGAGGGGCTGGGGGTGGTGGTGGGAGTTCGGTTCCTACTGGGATCTCTAAAAACCTGCTTAAAACGGGTTCCGCGTTGCCGCTGGAGCCGCGCGGTCCGTGTCCCAGCAAACGCCCCGCGTGCCGGGCTCCTCGCGTGTAGGGGCCTTCCCCCGCCCGCGGGGTCTTGGGGGTAGCGTGGCCCCCCGACCCTCCCCAACCCTGCCCAGCCTTTCCGTGCCCCCCACGAGGCCCGGCGCGCGCATGAGCGCGCGGAACGTGGAACGCGCCAGGCGCGGATCCCGAGCCCCGATGCCCAGCGCTGCGCGTCCGCCTATTTGGGGGGTCGGGGGGAGTTTGGGGAGTCGCGCTCGGGGTCCGCCCGAGGCCCGGAGCGCCCACGGCCCTGCCCTCGGGGGTGGGGGCGCATCTCCCCGCGCTCCCCCTGCCCAGCCCTGGCCGCGCCCGCCCGACGTGCGGGCTGTCCCCGCGGGACCCTCGGGCGGGCGCGCGTCTCCGGGGTCCCCGCCGCTCCGCGCGCCGCGACAGCCACCGCGAGCCCCGCGCCTGGGCCGCGGCCAGCCGGTCACTTCCCCGCCCCGCGGGCGCGGCATGCAAATCCGGGCGGCAGGAAGTCCCTGGGCCCCGGCCCGGCCCGGCCACCGCCAGTTCCTCTCCGCGCGCGGCGCCTGCAGCTCCGGCCCTGGCGCGCCGGGGGACCCCGCGCCCCGCCTCGCCCCGCGGCCGCCCCGTCTGGTGAGTGCGCCCCGGGGTGCGCCCGGGCAGCGGCCGTCGGGGGACAGCACGGGGGAGCGGGGGTCCAGGGGACGGAGGCAGGGGAGGGCTGCGACCCGCGGCGGCGCGCGGGGGACCCCCACGCCCGAGACCCGCGGCGGGCGGGAGCGGCCCGGGGTGGGGGGCGGCGGGGACGCCCCGGCGGGCTCCGCGGGGGGCTCCGGGCCGGGCTGTGACGTCGGCGGGTCGGGCCGGCGCCTCCCCTCGGGCTGAGCCCGAGGCGCTCCCGGAGCGCCGCCCGGGGACCCCCCTGGAGCGCTCCCCGAGGCCCTCCCCGGGGCCGGGCCGGTGCGCCCCTCTCCGCCCGCCGCCCGCCCTGCAGGCGCCTCCCCCGCGCGCGGCCGCCAGGAGGAAGCGCGAGTTATTTTAAGAGTCCCAGGGTGCCCTCCTCGGCCCGGGTGGGGTGCGAGCGCCGACCCCCCGCGGCGCGGGTTCTCCTCCCCCGGCTCCCCGTGCGCGGGGCGGGATCCCCCCCCTCGAATCGCCCCGAACGCGCCGTCGGCGGCTCCGAGCCGAGCCGGGCAGAGTCCCCGCCGCGCCCAGCTGGGGCCCTGTGACAGCCGGGGCTGCGGGGCTGTAAGACCCGGGTGCGAGTGGCCCCGAGTAGCCCCTCCCCGCCCCCCACACTGGCCGCAGGCCCAGCGCTTGGGAGTGGACACAGCCCCCACCCCCGCCGGCTGCGCCCTGGGGCGCGCTGGTCTCTGGCCACCAGCAACTTTCTGAGCTCGCTCAAGTCCTTCCTGCCTAAGGCGACGGCTTCGGGACAAGTGTGGCCTTCGGGGAATTGATGCTGCTCCTTAAAAGCGCACTTTCAGAGGTTTGAATTTGCAGGGAGGGGTGCCCTCAGCAGTGCTCGGGGCTGACTCCTGGCTCTGTGCTCAGGGAGGGCGCTTGGGGACGGTTTGCAGTGCTGCGTGCAGTATCCCCTGTGTTATCCCTCTGGCTCCCCTCCAAGAACTAGGCAAGAAAGAATGGTGGGGGTGGGCCCGGTTATGAATTACACACCTTCAGAGCCCTTCGTTTCCGTTCTCTTTGGTCTCAAAAGTAAATCTCCTCAACATCCGAGATTCCAACTGGTCCGACCGAGCATACCAGTTGAAACTCAATAAAATTAGAGCATATTATCCACACACACACACACACACACACACACACACACAGAGCTGTACTGATTTAAAAGATGAGTACACCGTGTGCTGGTGCTGGTCCCGTTGAAAGTCACCGTGATCCTTAGTGGGGACACTGATCAATGACGTAGCAGCAGGGCCTGGAATCCTGACCCTTCCTCAGCTAATCTCATTTGCACCTCACAAGGGCCTCCAGAGGCCAGACAGAGCCTCAAAGGAGAGTTTTGGTGACACATCCAACGTCACAGGCCTGATGCAGAGGTGCTCTGGGTGGACTTAATACTTTGTGGTTCTAATTTTATTTTAGTTTGTGTGTGTGTGTGTGTGTGTGTGTGTGTGTGTGTGTGTGTGAGACACACCTGGCAGTGCGCAGGGCTTACTCCTCACTCTGCGCTCAGGGATCACTCCTGGTGGGCTCCGGGGACCATAGGGGGTGCTGGGGATCGAACCCAGGCAGGCCGTGTGCAAGGCAAGTGTCCTACCTCTATGCCATCTCCGTGGTTCCTTTGTGGCTCCAATTTTAGAGTTATTTGTACTTTGCAGCCTTTGGGCCTGCTGAAGGTACTCATTAGAGAGTTCATTTATTGTTTAATAAGAGTTTTGTTTTTGTTTGGCACCACACCTGACTGCTCACACTCACGAACCAGTCCTGGTGATCTTGGGGGACCCACTGTGGTACCGGGGATAGAACCTGGGTTAGCCACCTGCAAGGCGACTGCCTTAGCTCTCGTCCTATCTCTCTTGCCCCGAATCAGCTTTCATTTTTTTCCGGTTTTGGGCCATACTTGGTGATGCTCCTGGCTCTCCACTCAGGAATCACTCCTGGTGGTGTTCAGGGATCCCACATGGGATGGATGGGCGGCTTGCATGACAAGTGCCCTATCTGCTGCATTATCTCTCTGACCCCTAGGCGTGTGTGTGTGTGTGTGTGTGTGTGTGTGTGTGTGTGTGTTTAATGCAGAGAGTCCCAAGGTACTCCTCTTGTCTCTGGTGATCGTGGACACTGCAGCTGCCACTCAGCACACAGAAGCGGTTTGACTGGACACTTGTTCTGTGTTTGAGAGGAGTGTCTGGCCTCCAGCACTGCTTCCCGCTGGGAAGGGTCGCTGCTTGCTACCGAGGTGGCCTGTGTGCTGCTTCTTCAAGAATAGCTCGTTGGCCGGCCCTGGGGCTTATCAGCCGTTTGCTGGTTAACGTTGAAATGGCGAGCAAAACTTAGCAGAGGGATTCCTCCGGCCTCTGCTAGAAGGGCCTTCTAGGCGCTTCCTGGTGTGCTTATCACGAACGGGGACCGTACCTCTTGGCTGTGACTGAGGCCTGAGATGCACAGTGCACCCACACTCCCTCAGCACCAGCCGTGAGCAAGGCCTTGTTCCAAGTCCAAAGTCTTTCTGTCTGTCTACACGGGGCTCTTGACTTTTGAAGACTAATGAAATTAAGGATAGATAAAAGGAAGGTTTTTTTTTGGGGGAGGGCGGAAGGGGGCGGGCCAGAATGGAGTGTCGTAAATATTGGAAGATTTCTTCCAGCTTCCTTCTCACCTTATATTTGCACTGTGAAACCTGGAGTTCGCACTGTCATCATTCCTAACATTTATTTTGAGTAAGTTCCCAGAGGGGGAGAACCCAAGTTTAGAAGAGAGACGGAAATCTGGAAATCTGCCAAGTGAGGAATTTATGAAGTTTTGGAACAGGCCAGTGTAAAGAATTGGTCCTTCTTTCAGTCAGATCTTGTTGATTCTGATTAGCTGAAAGTGCTCTTGATTAATTGATAATAACGAATTTGAATGATTTTTTGGTAGATGCTAAAAAAAAAATCAAGGTTGACGAGGGGCAGGGCCTTTCAACGACCTTTGTTCTTCATTCTTGTGCTTTTTGTTTAATCTTTTTCTGAATGTACTTTCTCTTAGTTCTGAATAAACTGCCTGTACCGTATTTGCCACAAAACTATTATTGTTGTTGCTTTGACTGTTGTGGTTGTTCTTGGAGAGGGGCTGACGCAGAGGCGGTTGGTGGTTGTTCTTGGGTTTGTAGTGACTTGTGATTGTTCTTATAGTCGTGATTGTGGCTATTCTTGTGGCAGTTGTAGTGTTTGTGGCTGTTGTGGTCATTGTTTTAATTGTCCTTGTGGTTGTGTGGTGGTGGCCATGTTGTATGTTTGGTGAGGGTGGTGGTGCTGGTGTTGGTTGCAGTGGTGGTATTGGTTATGTTGCCTGGAGTGTTGCTTGTGGTGGTTGTCGTGGTGGTTGAAGTGGTACTGCGTAGACTGATTTTGTAGTGGTAGGCTGTGATGATGTGTTTGTGGTGGCTATGGTTGTAGTGTACGGTTGTAGTGGCTGTAGTGGTGGTGGTTGTAGTGTTAGATGCAGTTTTGGCTGTGGAGGTAGTGATGGTTGTGGGGATGGATTTAGTGGTGGTTGGCGGTGGTGGTAACTGTAGTGGTGGTATGCAGTGCTGGTTGTTGTGGTGGTTGTGTTTATGAGGGTGGTGGTGGTCGTATGGTGGTGCCTGGTGGCCGTGTGTGGCCGACATGCAGGGTGTGTGTTCTGCTGCTGTAGGCCCACCCCTGGCTCTCACAAAGCCGCCTGGAGAGTCATATTCACAGTCATGTCACAGTTCCCCTTTGCAGAGAGTGTTTGAAAGCTGAGACTGATTTCACCCTCAGTGTATTGCCAAGCTCCCTTCCCTCGTCCTGCCCTCCCAGTGTGAGTGCCCGGGAAGGAGCTGACCGAGGCTGTGCAGAGATTTCTGGCTGGCCTTGTGGCCATCGCTGGTCATTTCCAGGGTGCTCAGAGGTGGAGGTCAGAGCCTCTAAGATGAACTGCAGAATTCACGGGGGTTCTCGAGAGCCCCAGCCTCGTCCTTGTGAGGTGCAGAACTCCAGGAAGAATCTCCCTTGTGTGGACTTCGTCTTCTCTCTCCTTCCTTTCCGCAGTTCATTTGTTAGACAAACTCCGATCCTGTTGTGCCTCGCCAGAAAGTGTTCCCTCTGCTCTGTGCCAACCCTCAGCTCGGGCCTGGGCCCTCTCCTCTCCCCTCTTCCCACGACGGGTGTGGTGGAGTCTGTTGGCATCGGTGAGCGGATGCAGCTTTTTTCCTTTAGGTCCACGAGATCTTCCCGGGGTTGGGGCCTTCCGGGTCCCCGGTTCTTCCTGGAAATGTCAGGCCCCTGGGGGGTGGGGGTGTGAGGGGAATGGAGAAGCTTGCGGCCTAGAGCCCTTCTCGCCAGGGACGACACTTCTGCTTTCCACAGGAAGCTGCGTGGCAGGGTCTCAGTAGCACGGCTCTGGGGGAGGCCTGAGGCAGCCTGAGGGAGGAGGCAAGCAGGAAGTGTTCCACTGAGTGGCCCCCAGCGGGAGTTGGCCTGCAACCCCACCTCCACCAACCTGAGGTTGGTGCTCCTGCTTCCTCGGCTCTGTCCTGGCTCACTTTTCCCTGGAGAGAGACAGGGAGGTTGGAGACGGGCGAGGAAAGAGAGAATCTGGCCCCGGTGCAGAACCCTCTCTAGTTAAGCCCGTGGAGACCACCTTTTGTCCCAGCCACAAAAATGGGTACATTTGGAATCCGCGACAGAGGGGCCGTCGTGAAACCCTAAGTAGGCGTCTTGGTTGACATTCCAGGGATATGATGATTTCTTTATACAAGCTATAACGTCAAATGACTTTCAACTTTTTTTTTTTTTTGGCTTTTTGGGTCACACCCGGCAATACACAGGGGTTCCTCCTGGCTCTTCACTCAGGAATGACTCCTGGCGGTGCTCGGGGGACCATATGGGATGCTGGGAATCGAACCTGGGTCAGCCGCGTGCAAGGCAAACGCCCTACCCGCTCTGCTA